CCTCCGCCGCCGCCGCCGCTGCCGCCGCCGCCACCACCTCCCCTCTTGCTCTGCCTAGCCGTTGCTAAGCTTTTAGCAATGTTAGTCGGAGGCGAACAGAGTGGGGCAGGCAGCAGCATGCCTTCCTTTCCCAGTTACTCCATGTCCAGCCACCTACCAACCCATCTTACCATTTAACCATTCATTCAGCTCCAATGCACCCAATTTGCTACCTCTAACCTAACCCTTCTGCCTCTCATCCGTTACCACCTTTAGTTAGTCGCTCTGCCTTCTCCGTCTTATTCTTATCGTGCCACACTCTTGCACCATCTGATCGCTAAACTAATTTTCCTCCAGTATTGTACCTCCGGTACGATACCTATCCTTTTCCATCCACTCCTTTTACAATCCAATTTCATTCACCTGCTCGCTATCATGCTATACTATCTTTCGATATACCGTATATGTAGTAACGTATCAATACCATTGTAACAAGTAGATAATCTTTTATCTAAATAAGTACTTTACGTACTCCTTCAATTTTTATACCCTTTATAGTATTGTACATATACTACGTACTTATTATAGTATGTATGCACTTACGTGTACACACGTTGAAACATGTGTTGTCCGTGGCCCTTTGAAATTCTACTACTCCTCACCACATACCGATCGTTGATAACTCGCTAAAATTCTCTCGATAACACAGATCCCTTGAATTTTCAAGGTAAGAAAATTCAATCCTCTCCACGTGACCTTTCATTGTAAAACTTGAAAATTGACATTTTCATTGGATGATAATTTTGAAAATAGGACACGTTATCAGAGATAGGACAAGCTTTCGAGTAAGAAATTCTTAAATGACATTCTTATATTTTCATACTTTCAACATATCTTTTCCTCGGTGAAAATTCTTTGGACGAATTGGTGGGTAGCCTGACGTGCCGGCCGCACACAGAGAGACAAATGTGCCAAGTATGTACATAAGTACATACATATGTCAGACTTATTGTCGAAAATCAGAAATAGAAAATGAAATCTCCATTTATCGACGTCGTTACCAAGTATAGTACGTTGTTAATCGTTAATCTTATTATTACGTTGGTGATTGGTGAAGGGGTAAAAAAAAGGGGTACTTTCGGTACGGAAAACTTACTGTAACTACGAGACTTTTACAAAATCGTTTTATAAAACAAATCAGTCCCGGCTAACTTTGGTAGCATCGCGTATTGCTTCGCCTTCTTCTTCCATCGATTATTCCGTTGAAATTCGCACCAGTTATACACTATCTAACTCATCACTTTGTCGATCCAAGGCACGAATTTCTGAATATTCGTATATACGCCGGGCAGGTGTTCACGACCGCACCCTATACCCCAGGATACAAGACCGATTAATACGTGTCTTCCTTCCACGGACATGGTTAAAGGACCACCAGAGTCTCCCTATTTCAAAATCAGTTTTTCACTCGATCAATTATTTCGCACAAATTCTCTATGTACCTGACAACCCGGTAAATCTGTACCTGGCAAGAATCTCGTCCGCCTTCCTTGTAACCAGCGCATAAAAAGACGTCGTGAATGGTTTCCCGTCTTCCAGCCGCCCTAAACCAACGCTGACATCTTTCGTTGGGAATTACCTGAAAGTAATTACTTCGTTTCCAGTAATATATTGAACATATCGAATAGAAGGGGGTGCGTGCGTGCGTGCGTGCGTGCGTGCGTGCAAGTGTAAGTAGGTGCGTGTGTACGCGTGTGTGTACGCACTTCGACATCAACCTCTTGAAGAATCGACGGTGCCGAACTTTGCCCGTGTCTGGTCCTACCCCAGCCAGCAACCGTTGCGGTACGTCCCGAAAGTTTCAGATTTTTCGCTGGTAAACAGACAGGCACGATATGTTGCTTGAACGCTACTGTTCTTGAAAGCTTCACCAGTGCCACGTCATTCCGAAAATCGGTCGGTGAATATTGCGGATGAACCTGCAGTTTCGAATTAACGATTAATCCGTCCCTTCGAAAACCACCCTCTTACTTACCTCTTTCCTCTCGACGTTGAACTCTTCGTGCAACAATCGTTCGGATCCGTCCCTAACGTCCCATTCGCCGAGGCGCACTTTCAGGTTGCCGTTTGGTGTTCTGTAATACATAAGCGGGACGCGATACCGTTAATTATCATCTCGTGTACATATGTAAGTGTATTCTATCTCGATTGCGTATACTAACGTTGCGACACAATGAGCTGCGGTAACTACCCATCTGTTGTTCAATAAAGCACCACCGCAGGATAATTTCTTCGTAAGGAAACCAGACTTGATGATAGCAGCCTAAAAGTTTCAAGTGAAATAATCTTAACTTGACTTGCGCAGCGCAAGTATGTATCGAGCTGAGAGAAATGTTACTTTTGCCAAAGTTCCAATTCACCGGAACAATTACCTGCCATGGATGACTGCCGAAACTAGAACTATGCCCACCCACGATTCTGTTGCTCCTTGTATAAAGTTCACCGCAACCTGTCGGACAATATAAAGAGATTCACCATGTACCGAGACACATTTTCACCTTATAAACATATCTATACAACATCCTACGTATAGTACCTAAGTATAGTTAAAGTGAAGCTAGACCTTGCGTTCGGCGATGCTTTTGATCAACGAACGAACGAACGAACGAACGAACGAACGAACGAACGAACGAACGAACGAACGAACGAACGAACGAACGAACGAACGAACGAACGAACGAACGAACGAACGAACGAACGAACGAACGAAAGAGTGGTGCAAAGCGGGAATTTTCTCCCCACTAGAAAATGATATCTACTACATATGTATGTAGAAAAATATGATTTCTCGGGTTTGAGGTAGGTAAGGTAATCGAGTAGCGTGACATTCGTGATATCGATATCACGAGCGTGCAAACACTTTCTACGGTTCAACCTTTCGGATTCTCAAGTTTCTCGTGAGTTTCTCCTTGTTAATACACAAGTGCGTGTGCTTATTCTATTATATCGTATTAATTGAAATAGACATGTTTACTACACACCATTAACGATAGCAGAAAAGCCACTACGGAAATCTACGGTGAAACGTGCAGAGTGTCGCGAGATAGAACGAAAGAGAGCGACGTCAAGCGAAGAAAAGTGCTTCCTCTTTTGGTTCACTTTCACATTCATCGTACCTACGATAGTAACGTTCGGTAATGATCGTTCGATATGCCGTGCCACGAATATACGTACATACGTAGAGTGTAACAAGGCTAGCTGCTAACAGGAGGCATAGAAGAGATCTGACGAGGTTTCTACCAAGTATGTGTATGTAAGTAAGTAGGTACATAGTAGGTCAATTGCGGAGAGGAACTAACATACAGAAATTGCAATTTTATTGCTGTGCAATTTTGTCTGTGCGACTTGATGCGGATTACCACGGTATTTCGAATAATCCAGGGAGTTTGAGACATCCTCGATCGGTGTATGTATCCCCGAAACATCGGGAGAAACGGCATCGTATTCATCCAGAGGCGGATGATAAAGTGGTGGACGACTCGTATACACAGGACGATCGTAATTCCACGTCTGTGAGGACACGTGAACGGTCGACGGCTTGTTCGCGATGTTGGCGTACAGGTAGCTCGATCCGTGTTCGTTCGGACCGCTATACATCGGTTTGCTCGGCCTTGCCGCATTCTCGTAGATTTGTACGTCGTCGTCCACGTACGGATGTTGATTTCCCACGTTAAACGAAAGCGCTAAGTTTAAACAACCTCCGTTATACTTTACCTTCTCCGGCTTATCTATTACTTTCGACGATCGTTTTCACATTCGAGAGCACATTATGCGTGCCAACCCTGTTGTTACCCGTTAACCATCTTACGCGTCTGTCGTCACCTCAAAACCCAAACTCACTTGCGTTTTGCAGTAATCCAGTTGTTGGTCGTGGTATCTTTTCAGGGATGTCATCGTCATCCACGCAACAACTCCAAATTAATCCACCGGAACAGAGATCGACCGGACGACCACCCCCAAGAACGCAGCTGATACTAAGGCCACAGTCGAACGTAGCTCCTTTGTACGTACAGGTTTGCGGTATCACTGAAACAAAACCATTCACCGTTCGTTTATCACCGGTTTGCATTTCGATCGCTCTCTCTCTCTCTCTCTCTCTCTCTCTCTCTCTCTCTCTCCCCCTCTCTCTCTCCTAACGAATTTACCAGCTACCGATAGTACACCTATATAAATAAATAAGTATTTGTCTATCGCCCAAGTATGTATTTATCTACTTATTTTCGTCGCGTCTGCGTCTGGGTCTGCGTCGAGCCGTGAGTCGTCATGGAGCACCGCGTTGCTCTCTTTCGGTCTGTTTCTTCGGATAAACACTCGGTTGCTTTCGTTTCGAATCACACAGTTTCATAAGTGAAATCGTCGACTGGACGGCCAACACGCATAATGGAAAAAGAGATCGAACAAGAAAGTCGAAGAAAGAAGGAAAACGTTCGTCGATAAAGTTCGTCCCCGTTGTGTGGCGGCGGATACCTACGGTATACGTATGTATATACACGAAACAACGTACTTCTACCCAACATATCCATTATGCCAATTTGAACGTCACTGTTATGACTCCCTCGATCATCTCCGGTGTAATTTCGTTTCTTCCTGAGAGCCTCGACAAGGAGGGTGCCCTGCTGTTGACTATTCAATTTATGTCTTCTACCTTGCCTGTAACCACCACCACCACCGTCGCCACCACCAACACCAACACCACCACCAACACCACCACTACCAGTCATTATCGACTGTTCCAATTCACCCTTGTTCATTCTTCTCCTCAACTGCTCGAGAAAGTTTCGTACGTTCTTCTCTTCAACGTCCCCTTCGTCTGAATATCCGTCCTCGAGATTCCGTCCATTCGCCGGCACTGGCCGCTTCTGCCGCCTACTCCTATTATCCTTCTTATCGTTTTTATTATTGTCACCGTCAGCCTCTCCTTCACCTCTCCTTCCAACGATGAATCCTCTACGAAGGATCCTCGTCTTCCCATAATCATCGTAATCTCCGTTCCACGAGCTTTCCCTTCTCCGATCGAAACATTTCCTGTTCGTGTCACTCGCGTCTCGCACCTCGGAGATATCGATGCCCGTTTTTCCTTCGATCGAGTTTCCAAACATCCATCTATCCTCTAATCTCTTCGTTTCTCTACCTTTCCTTTTATCCGATAGTTGCACCTCGGATAATAACAACCCTGCTAATCTCCCCGTTTTCTCGTTTCTCGAGAGCCAATCGTGAACATCCGACGAAGAAGATGGAGAAGAAGAAAGCAACGGGCGATCGTAAGTCACTGCATCGTAATTGAATGCATTAGCGGTTACTAATAAAAACACGTGTACAACTACGATCACGTTCATGATCTTTCCAGTTGATCTAATCGATCGTCTGTATCATAATTTTCACAAACAGGTTATTTTTCACAAACGATCGAGAATCGTTTAAAAGCGCAAAACTGCGTGAAATAAAAATATCCAACAAATTCTACCTTCCACGACATTTTACCTTCGTTCCATCTACCAAATCGTTACACACTCTTTTCCGCGTGTTCTTTCTCAAAATTCATTCGTCACGTAAACTATCGCAAATCGACGTCTTCCACCGACTGACGAGACTTTACCCGGGCATCTAAAGAAGCGTTCGCGGCTTTCACCAACGTTAGCTTTCTCGTTGCTACGATAGCGCGTCTTCCTTTACATTGGTTAGCTTCCCCACCTATTCCTTCCTTCACTCTCTTCTGCTTTCTTCCCCATATGCCCCACACCGTGCTTACTTCCTTTCTCTTCCCCCTTACAAAACCTGCCCATAGACGGCACGCAACTTCTCTTTCTTTCTGCATTTCTTCAACCAACTTCTCTCCTCTAACTCTTCTCCAACTATTATCTACATATACTGTACATAAATAAGTACCCAAGTACTTAAATCAGCCAGAAAGTTATTTATTTGCCGCGATAGAAATTCCAACGGATAAAACGGAATAAGATCTTTACGATTAGAATTGACCGAGTTTTCTTTCCCTGTCCTCCGCATTGGAAAACTTACGTCCGAGCTCGTCGAAAAATCGTGTCTCTCCCTCAGAATCAACTGTATTTTCCATTGTAGTTTCCTTGGTTTTTGTTGAATCTACAATTCAAATATCCAATTATTATACATATATGTACATCCATCTAAGTACATACATACCAAGTACTCACCGAAATTCTCTAGATACCGGTCGTTTTTCCTTTCAGCGGCTTCGCAATACAGCCCAATAAGGAACGGAACGAAGAGCAAGTATGCGAATCGATTCATTTCTTTGCTCCCTCAACAATGATTCCTCGTTCAATTCTTCTTCCAATCGTTCACCGAACGTTCGCGCCGAAGAAACTGAAGCAATCTCTCTGTCCCTTTAAACCCTTCTCTATTCTCTGCTCTTTTCCAAATCTCAACTTGACGATATCAATCGACGTTCGCATACCTCCTGTAATTTATTCGAACAGAATCGCAACAGAAAGCTCGATCGATGATCCGGCATCCAAGAAGTTCGTCTTGAATTTTCTTTCTAAATTTCCTTCTCTCCTGTGACTCCGTGTACCGTAAGAACCCGTGAAGCGTAGCGAAGGCATTCACACGTACCGTGTGGTCCGGTAGAAAAGTGGGTCGAGGAACCAGGTCACCGAAACAAGTGGCACGCCGCCGTCTCTTCGCGTGGCCGCTTCGTAACACACCTTCTCAGTAGTCCCCTATGTCCCGTGAACATGCGGTCTGCGCGCGAAACCGTAGCATTACACCTTTGCTTATTATTAGTGAAAGTTAGAGCCGGTAACTTTCGACTTTGACAATGATGATCTGACTCTCAAATGAATCGCCAGTGGCTTACATTCTCCGAACGATTTGCCAATCAAATTTTCCTCTCTACATCTCCTCTTTTATTCCATTTCCTGTTCCTCTCCTACGTCTTTTAACCTAAGTAAGAACGTACATATTCGAAATATCGAGAAACGGCCCTGCTTCAACCGTAGATCCAACCACACTGTCCCGTCTGCTATCAGGCTACACGTGAGAAGCGTGAAATTCATCAGAGAGCTGTCATTCAAATATCCCTCTTCTTCTTCTTCTTCTTCTTTCAGAGTACACACGACACAACACACGTAAGCGCACCCGGTCTCAGGATCGTTTCAATTTTCTTTTCATTTTTTCACCAAAATTCCTGCCGAATTAAACGAAATCTACCGTTTTTAGAAGGACAACGATAAACAGATATCCGATTCGATTCGTGTTAGGTTTTCATCGCGATCAGAATCACTGTAACGTCCTTCCTTCGCCAGTGACCGGGTGACACTGCGAAGAAAGGAGGAGGAGATTCTCGATACAAGGTTGACTACTGACGAGGAACGGAAATACAGCATCCAAAGGCTACTCTCTTTCTCTTCCTCTCCTACCTGATACTTTTCTTCCTGCCTTTTCTCCTTACCCCTTCTTCCATCCACCTTTCCATCAATCCGTCCTTCCTTCCCCATCGCGTTTTCGCTTTGGCTTATTTGTTCGCTTTCGTTTATGTATACATACATAAGTACATAAATATATGTATATCATGCTCAACAACGTATCGCTCCATCTCCACATGTAAGCTTTCAAAACGTTGCAGGACTGAAGGAACAATGAAGAACAACCAGATAACAACCTTTCTGTACTCTTACTTTTCTTCCATTTCTTTCGCTTACGGTCGGCGCGGCGCGGCGCGGCGTAGCGCGGCATGGCGTACCGATAAACGTAACGCGCCAATCCAATTACTCGTCCTGTGCTACGGAAAGATTGGTATTACTGCCAATTAAGAAACTTACGCCAATCTGCTGACATATACGATTTATAATTAACAAGGCAATTGATTCCGTTAGAAGTAACGATGAAAGTGAACAGTTCTGTACTTTGCTACTTTCTTCTTCTTCGAAATTATAAACTTACAAGGTGTGCATATTTTCTGTCGTACGTGTTTAAGAAAACCAACGAGAAGTCTCGGACGGGAACAATTTTCTTCCAATTAGTATCGACTCTTCTATTTACATATTCATACACTTACTTAAGTAGCTATAATTATATAGCAAATACTGACGTGGCGACATCTTTCGTCAAAAACAAGACACAAATAAGATTGGTCGTTTCTTTACCATCCGAGCTATTTATCAATGTAACGCCTATATTAATGTCAACGATTTCTACTTAACCGATCGCTCCTAATACTTTACGATAATTACCCTATCCTAGTTAGATATTGCGGTATTTCAATTCAAGCAACTTTTATCATTTCTGAAATTAAGTCCAAAAATGATTAATCTATTTATGCGATCGATCTATAAAAATATATGTATATCGTATAATACATTACAAGGGATATGACGTAAGTACGCATGCCACTCACTTTTCGTATATACTGTTTATTTATTTATTTATTTCGATAAATACATAAAAGATAATACATATGTAGTCCCTGTCGGAAACCTTTTCGTACATTCTGCGATCCTATTACCTCTGAACATCTAACAGATCAAAATTTTCTGCTAAAACTATATGTATACATATAGTAAGGAAGTAAGTACTTATTATACTTATTTATTATACGGACAAGGAGAAACTTGAAAGATGGAAAAGGAAAGAAATCGGAGGATAGAACGGGACAAATAAAAAGAAAAAAAAAAGGTAAGAGAACAACCTTCTTTCCGCATGATATTCCACTCTGCGAAAACTTCAACTTAAGGGGAACACAGGACATGCTAGGAGCAATTAGACAAAGAACGAAAATCCATCTTGTGTAATTAAGACAAGGATAGCGATAAAGCGCGGCGACACTACTGCCATCTCCTGTTTTAGGATAACAGAATATGCATGGAGGTATCCGACAAGGAACGCAATAGTGTGAGAGGAGGACAGTGAAAACGATTCCTATTGGCCGAGCAGCACCATTGTTCCGCTCCCCGCCATTAAATGAAAGTGGCGTGGGAAATACATCGATAACTCATTATCTACGAATAATTTGCATACTTTTAGCATCGAAGAACAAAGTATAGACCTCTAGCAAGTTTCACATATAAGTTTGAACGCCGTCGTTTCTTTAAATAATTAGTTACTACCAAATCGGTATTACTGTACGATTTTTCATTAATTTCCTAACTTTATATGCATAATTTATACATTTTCAAGTATGTAACTCAATGTTCATCCCCTTAGCTTTATTCCCGTGCAATTTTTATTAACATATCACGTGTGATTTCATAGCTATTAAACATTATTACGGGTAGCGTTCCCAAACGTGATATCTTTGTGAAACAATTGATAATAATTAATAAACCGCAGCAAACACGCGTATCAAAGTTATTTGAAAATATACATAAAGTTTTACGCTACATTCCGTAATGATAAAAATGTGCAAAATGTTTCTACAAAATTACAATTTATTATCGGCCACAGCCGCATCATTGACAATCCCCACCTAACTAATTGTTGTTCAATCAAAATTTACAAGGTTTATCGTTACAAAAAGCAACGATTAGTACTCTCCAAGCTACTTATATAAGTACACAAGTACTTCTACCTCTACTCTCTCCTTGTTGTATACCAGCCGAGTATGTCGGTATAAAAGAACACCATATATCGTTACATATTTGAAACGCAAGATGCTGTTGTTCCTTATTTTGCATGTAAATTCATGTTGCGTGAGAATATTTTTCTTCTGTTAACGATGTACGTGTGTAGCTTTAATTTTGTTAACAATGCTCCGTCTGTCGAGATATTTTAGTATGTTAATTATTTTTATCGACAGTTATAGTTTTCAAGGAGGAAATGCCTCGAATAATTGCTGTGGCTAATTATGAAGAAATGTCAAAAGTTACATTCCTATTGTGTTTATTGCTTAAAAAATATATAACAGTGGAAGTTGCTGGCATCGTTATGCGTTGCATTTTATAATTTAGAGAATGAAAACGTTAATGGGGAAAGTAGTTGCTTTGGGTTCACAAGGTAAATTTTACATCACGATCAAAGGTAACCGATACACCGTCGTTTCTCATTTTTCTTTCTTTTCCATTTTATTTCAAAGTTCATTCTCGCCAATATTTCTATAAATCGATCGATTTTTAACGATTCGAAGGAAGAGTATTTAGGTTAACTTGTCAATTCCTTTTTCTAGGTAATTCTTTCTATTTTATATGTTTTTATCATGCAAACGTGATATTCTAATTTAACAATGTTTCAGGTGTTGGCAAAACTAGTATGATCATACGCTATACTGGTAAAACATTCAACGAGCATGTGAGTCCTACAATTGGCGCGTCATTTTCTACTTGTAAATTCAACATGGAAAATGCAAGAATAGTACTACAGGTATAACGATTGTTACATCAAAATATTAATTACACACACATACGTATGTATATATATCATTCGATTCTATTCATCAGGAGTATGTTAATAATGGTGAACAGATTTGGTATTCCTATATTTATAATTGTAATAAATATGATGAATAAAGTGGTACAGATAAATGCAGTATACTTTTATTTGTTGCGCGTGATGTAGGTGTGGGACACTGCAGGACAGGAAAAATTCAAATCAATGGCACCAATGTACTATAGAAATGCCAATGCAGCTATGTTGGTGTTCGATTTAACTCAGTATAATACATTCGCAGCAATGAAGGGATGGGTGACAGAGCTTCGAAGAAAAGTAGAAGATACTATGGTACTGGTAGTTGTTGGGAACAAATCGGATTTAAGGAAAGAAAGGCAAGTGGAGGCTGAGGAAGGTAGAGTGTATGCTACGAAAATTGGTGCAACATATCACGAGACATCGGTTCTGCAAAACGAAGGAATCGAAAATGTCTTTTTCACTATTGGTAAGGGTCTCCTTGGATTATCGTCAACCGAACACGATACTACCTCCGTCAGAATATGCGAGTCGAAAAATTTGAATTCGAGCACGACGGATGTCTCACTTACACCATCCCTCGAGGAAAGTGCTGAAAACTTGAGTATTGCTCATGGGATACAAGAAAGACCGCACAAGTGCTGCTAGCCCAGCAATTCTCGTTTCAGTTTCGAAAATACACATCGTCGACGTGCCACTTTTGTATCTCGATTCTTTAGTAAAGATTTAAGGCGGATCTCAATCTTTCCTTTCATTTACACGAATAAGGCAAGCGTATTCTAAACCTCGACCCCATATACGCGAATAACGTATAGCAGGTCATTTGTAAATTCTAACGACAATGGAACGTCTTCCATATACTTACGTGTACATCTAAGATAGAGATACATATATTATAATAAAGTTGTTATAAATATACTTCACTTTCTTACGTATCTAACTAACATTTTTCATACGATTTTAATCAAAATTAATCGACAAATCGTTTACGCGCCAAACACCACTAATGCCGGGGCGTAATTACATATGCACGTTACAATACGATACAACAACACTGATAACGCTTCGTTAAGATTAAGCTAAAATTCTTTCCTCGATTCATGCCTTCTTCTTCTTCTATGTACATACATAAGTACTTGGATACTTGCACACGACACGCGGTGTATTATTGTAATACTTACATCGTATTGATATGCATAACGAAGCAAATACGCGTTATACAATTAGAGGAGCTTTGTGCTCATAAGTGCAGAACGATAATCGTAAGGTGAGTCATTCTTTCTTTGGGCCAGGCTTCGGCAAGCGTGACGCGTCCCAGCTTTGTTCGCGTTTAACTTGTCTCACTTCCGTTACATAACTATGTATTTCTTCAGCGTGCCTTCATTTATACCTCTGATAGTTCATAGTGGCGATGATGCGGCGGCGTTCACCAATTAGGATTGTACCGATTGCACGATTCTGACTATGTTGCCGTTCAAAGTACGGAAACAAGTTGGATAAAATGCAGGGAGATGGGTATACATAAGTAGATATTCCTCAGAATTACATATATGCTAATTTCTACCAGTGATATCCATATCATCGTTCGTTTAACGCTTGAATTCATCCGTTTCCATTCACCGAATTACCCTTTACCTTGCGAAACGTAATCCTAATCGATTACACAAGCCATGTAACGCAAAGTTGTGTTGCGCGAGTAAGTTAATTAACCGTGTTCATTATTCTATTCTACCACGCGACCAAGTCGGCGTGAACGAGTGCGGGAAGAAAGGGGCGCGTTCTTTGAACACCTTCATGTGCATCGTGTTGCCGAGTAAGAAAACAATGTATGTATCGCCCCGCACATTCAAAGAGTTGGTTCCTGCCTACGAGGCACGTACGAGACACGTCTACGTCTAGCAGCGTAGAAGAGAAGGAGGGAAGTGCAACGCGGACAGAGAAACAGTTCTGTAGCTTTAGAGAACTCTCTTTTGCGTTTTGTATAAGAGAGCACAACCGTTGCCCGGTATTCTCAGTCAAGTTTAGATCGTCGAATGTCATATTTCCGCGACAAAATAAACCTTCTTTATATACATTTAGCGTGTACTTAAATATACATGTACAACATTTAGTACGACATGTATCATCGCGTTATCTTTAATCTATCGTTACGACGTTTTGCAACAGTGAAAATGTAACATCGGATTTTTATCGTTTTCAACGTGGCCCGAAAAAAATTCGTCGATCTTTCGGGTTTGCTTGTTAAATCGTTACAAGGCAACGATAGTTCAATTAACCAGACTAAAATGTATCGGCTGGGTTGCTATCGTATTTCATCCTTGTCGCTCCTATTACACCTTCTCTACCAATGCCCACCACTTTTCTCCCTTACGATTGACAATCGTTTAACAGTCGTTGCGAATGGTAATGAACAGTGTGTTACGATACCAATTCGCATTTCAATTAACTTCAGACCTAAGCAGCAACAATCATATCGAAATGAATTTCTCCCTCAGATTGTTACGGAAGGGTATCAATTGGGTCCAAGTTACCAGATATGGATAACGTGTTACGAGTCGACGCCCTAAGCTTAACGGAGTGCAAAGAAAGCTGTTCAAACGATAGAAATGGTTGTGACGCATTTTCATTTGGGTCGGTTTATTTACGTATTTTCCCACTTTACTCCTACATTGTACATATACATACGTATAATACGGTACACAGCAGCAGTGCACATTCAGGCGAGACAAACAATTTTACCTCATTCGTTGTTGTTTAGCGTTGGCCTAAAGGGTAATAGTACCTGTTTGATTAGCCCACGAGTACCAGTACTAGAAAATTTGGAAATTCATCCAGAGTATGACGTTTACGTGAAAAAACGGCACGATTCGCTACGGTGTGACTTCGATCGTCTCTATTACGGAAGTCTTATTCGTGGAAGTGGAAACGAGAGTGGAAGTCGTTGGACGAAAATGAAAAGAATAAACAAAAATGAACACCTTTCAAATACTAGCAATCTTCTTCTTCGTTCGAAATTAATACGAACCTCGATGCCGGCATCAATACCGCTTAACGCATCACCATTCTCGAGGTATTGTACAATACAGTATGTATGTATACGTTGTGCCCTACCACCGGCCGATTTCCTTCGATTTTCGACAAATAACTTTACTATCTATTACCATGCATGATACTTTTACCTATTCCGTAAGTATTATATTACACATTCGGGAACATGCCAACGCTATGATCGTTCATTCATACCTCGTGTTGTACCATGTATCGTTGAAAATTTCAAGAAACAAAGAAGACATTGGAAAACACAGACTTATCTATAACTCGTTCATCGATCATGAGAAACGTTTTCACTCCGACGATAACAATCGTAGAATCTTGGATATTGTTGCAAACAAAAATATCGATAGAACGGTATCGACCAGTCCTTTTGGTAAGTCGAGATGTTTCACGCAAATCCTGTGTATGTAAGTAAATAGGTATCATATACATATTTTCTTAAACAAAATGGAAAGCTATCGATACGATTCTTTTCATCCTGCTCTTCTTCCATTTTCTTTAGACCAGTCAAGTTTCCCTCGTCGTCATCATCGTCCGCCTACGAATATCTTCTTCGAACATATTCCCAACAACATCTAACAAAACCTATTCGCTCGTTGCCCCGTCAATAGTTACAAGATGACCGATTTTTTCAAAGCGCACTGCGATTGCAAAGACCGAGCTAGCTGAAATAATTGCGCATCTTGTATCCTTGATGAATCTCGAAGGACACGAGTAATTAAGCTTGTGCAGTTTCAATCACATTTCAATATGTACTTACTTACGTACATACGTAGTCGACCGATACAAGCGGGGGGGGAAAAAAGGGGGAGTGAAAATTTATCGCGCACGACGCGACGATGAGAAAAGAATGGGTATTCTTTTGGCTATTTAAACAGTAAAAACGACGAAAGTGGAGGAAGAGTAATCGTATTTTCTTGAGAATAATGATATTTAAATGTAGTTTCGTTAATGCACGCGCACACAGATGCGACAGGTGAATAAATACATGTAAATATTTGTGAAAATAATTATTACGTTTGCATAGCCAGAAACCAATTGTTATGCATATATGTATGCACTTATGTACATAAAAGCTTCAGCTATCCAATGTCCCTTCTCCGACATGCGAATATCTCCTCCCACTATTTCCGCAGAATCGCTCACTTTTCTATAAAACCATGCAGAACAGCAATTTCACCATTACTTTTTACACCTTTTACCGTTTTCATTCTATGAACTTACACGCGCTTCGCATCTTCCTAACCGTTTCATATGCCGCCTACTTATCCGCTCGTACATATGTAGGTGCATATGTATTACATATCCGTTAATAAACTCGGGACTATGCTTACAAGAATCACTATTTTTGCGTATACTATCATGAAAAGTCGACCGTGGCGGGAAAGATAACAATTTCAAATAACGGAAAGTGCAAGTGTTCAACCTGAGGAGGAGTTGAAGACAAAAAAGATGTTTGTAAAAACGTGGTTTTTATGGACTTTCATTTTGTCCACGCCTTATCCCCGTATAACTAAGAGTTCAACGATATCGGAGAAAAGTAATAACAATGATTTCACACGTAAGTTTGCAAGGAAAAACTCTGGCTAGGATATCTTACGCTCTCCAACTTCACATCTTCTTCCCACGTTCTACCATACTATACATAATACGTACCTACTTACATATTTACTACATCAGTACCGCGCATTGTAACGCCTTCGTACAATTATAATTCTTCTTCTTCTTCTTCTTCTTCTTTTTTTGCCTTTTTCTTCATTCTCTTCCGTTTTTTTCCCCTTTTTCTTATTTTGGGAAATTTAGTTGCAATTTGCCATCGAAAACTGTTACCTGGCAAGAAGATGATGGAACTGCTCGTCGAACGCGTCGTCAGTTGCGAAAATCTGCAAGATTGTTGTCGGGCATGCGATTACGAAAAGACTTTCGCCTGCAAAGGTTTCAATCACAGGTATGCCAAGTAAGACCGCTGTCACTGAAACAGGGTGAGTCGTTTAAATCGAATATTTTCGAAACCGTTGATTTAAACGACTCACCCTATGTACAGTACCAACTATTGTATTATACATATTGAATTTGAAATTTAAATTTGTCATTTCTGTGCGTATGTTGATAACGTAGAGACGCGCGTGGATACGAATGCAAAATTTCTACGGATAAAACGTATCCGCATCGTTACGATACTTTTATTTCTATTTTCAACTTCCGTTAACTTTACCGCTTTCGTATTAGATAGGGAAAAGTAGTTTCAATTAGTTTCAGATAGAAAAAATCCAGCAGAAATATTCGAAGGAAAATCGAATATTTCTGGTGGAAACGTTATTTACTCTCGTCCGTTCAAAGGCGCAGAACAGACGATTCAAAGTGTATATGCGAGCTGACGTCAACGCCGCATTTTCGCATGGACGTTGATGAAGATTTCTCAGTTGATTCTCATTACGATTACTACGAGAAGAATCAAAATTGCCTACCTTCGACGTTCGATCCGGTGAAAAACTACGAGCCAAGTGGTCGAAATATGTGGTCGGATCGTGTCGTGGGCGCGGACAAAGATCATTTCTACAGAGAAATTTATTCGCTATCGAATAGCGAATCTACTCGTGATTATCCCAATGGCCTTGCACAGCCCAACCAACAATTCAATTACGAAGAACCTCGCGGTGGTAAGTATAACATACGTAAGTATGTATTTATTTATCATACTATTACATAAGTAATATCGTGTAAACGATAAATTAATTTTGCACAATGTGAAATGAAAATGAAATACGCATAGGTTTCGCGTCTCGTCAGAATGCACCTTTAAATTGGAATCACAAATGGAGAAATTCCGATGTTACCAATGGCAACACACTCCCCAATTCTCCCTTAAACTACGATAAAGAATACGTGGACTACGTAAGATCTTCAATTTTCTCCAAATCACCGATCGAACAGGACCCTTCTCCGGAGCACGGATTTTCCCTTCCTGACCAACATGAACACTTTTATGGAAAATTTTATAATTACGGTGGTGCATTTGGCTACAACGATAACTCGTATGTGTCAGCCACAAGGACACCGTTTCAATCACTTTTCGAGAAACACGATAAACTCCAAACGACACGTAGATGCGCAACGAAAGCCGTTGCGGGTTCGAAATTAGGCAGAAGCGTTTTACGAAAGACTTGCCTGGCACATGATTTCGATCAGTGCGAAGATCTTTGCATCAACGAAACCAGTTTTTCTTGCCAAAGTTTTGCTTATAGGTAAGCCAAAGTAAAAAAGCGATCTTGAAGATTAACAAACCGTTAATTTTAGTACACATTAACAGAATAGAACGAAACTTTCTTCCTTTTCTTTATTCTGCCCTTACTCTATGTATACAGATACAACGTACTTACCGCAAATCCCACGGACAATTGCTTATTGAGCGACCTTTCCTATCGAGATTTAAATTTTTACACGGATCTCGAACCAGACCGCGATTACGACAGCTATATATTCATGCCGGATGATAAGATCTGTGATTTGAAAAAGTCAACGAATCGATATCCAGCGGAGGAATGCTTTTCAAGAGTGAGAAGTGGATTTACCATGCCGATGGACATTACGAACAACTCCATGTTCGTAAATGATTTGGGGGAATGCCAGTTTGCATGCACTGCGTCGCAACAATTTCTTTGTAGAAGTTTCGTTTTTAACTATGCTGTGAACAGTCGTGGACGCAATCACCAACACGTACCGTTCAATTGTTTCTTAAGTGATTGGCCTACGGAAGAAATGAATCCTACGAATATGCCGGATATGGATGGTGCTGAATTGTACGAGAGAAATACCTTTTCTTACGGTTGTGAAATCTACCCTTCTACGTCGTTATCATTTCCACATGTAACCATTCCAAATGACAAACGATTCTCCTCGATGCACACGACGGATGAACTTTGTTACTCCGAGCATCACAGACCATGCAAATTAATGTCTCACGCGATAGTGTCTTCAATGCGTGCTCTTACAAAATCAGAATGCCGACGAAAATGTTCGACAATGAGAAACACTGCTGCGATACCTTGTATGTCTTTCAATTATCTGTGAGTACATATTTCCTTGTTACATTTTTCAAATTCTCTCGTTCTACTGTAAAAGAGTTTATCATGTGATAAATGTTCACTTCTGTTCTCTAGTATCAACATCGACGGTACACGGGATAATTGTTTTTTAAGCGATATATCGAGACGAGATTTAAGACCAAATCTAGACTACGTTCGTGATAACGATCACATATTATACACGTGGAAAGAATTCGATCCATTATGCGGTATAACACCAGCGTTTGAGAAACACGCACAATCGTCGTCGCCGTCGTCTTCTTCCTCGCCACTTCTTCCCATGTTGAACGACCTAAATACTCAAAGGACATTAGACAGTGGCTCTCATATTTATAGACCGATTCTTCATTCTTCCACCACTCGGTGGGAAAACAAATTTCGATCCGAGAATCACCAACACAATTATAAGCATGAATTAACTAACGGGGATGACAAATCTAATTCCGGTGGCTCCGAATATCAACTAAACTTTCTCTATTGTAAGTGGAAAGAGAAATAAAAAGGTGAACCATCCATCTTTTCAACGAAACCAATTCAAACTTACATGTACACCTTCTGCTTTGCATTTGATCGTCTAGCGAGCCAACTTTCCCCTTTTCGACGTTACACGGTAAACGGTAATCCTTGCAGAAACGGTACCGTATGTCAGCGAAACGAGATCACTGGATTTTGGTCTTGCGAAACCGAAAACGAGTACGGCGGCAGTTGGGATTATTGTTGCGAGCCGAATCACCAATGTGGATTTTCCCAAGGATATCATTACCCCTGGTAGTATACGTATACCATTTCTATAAAATCACTTTCCTCTCGTTATCACCTCTAAGTATCGCTAATATTGCAGGTGTTACGTGGGTTCTAACGAAGATCAATGGAGACCTTGCAGCGAAACGTATAATCCATATTATTCTCCCAAAGACCGTTCAATTTATCGTCAATCACCGCTATATACCGCCCGTCATTGGCCAGTAATTTACTTTCACGAGACGTCACCTCCAAACTGCTCTACCAATGATCCCTAGTACATATGTACACATATGTATGTATATTAAATTATAATAGAAAAACTTCCGCGAGAGAGTTTCTTAATACGACGATCGATAGATAAACGAAATCAAACCTGTCTACCGTTACTCTCTGCAAAATCTATTCCAATCTATTTCTCCTTTTCACTAACAACAAATTACACGTGTATAATCATTGTATATTTTTCTTTCTCTTTCTTTTCTTTCGATCCCTTTGCGTGACTCGACTATGTACCAACTTTCTCAACGTTACACTTTCTCCTTGTACAACTGTTTAAACAACAAACCACCTCCCTAATTCAAGAACGCGTAACACAGGCAGGTAAAAATGCCAAGTAAATCATCGAATAACCGTACAACACGGCAATCTCCTGGATGAATACTATTACAATACTAAGAAAAAAAAATAACCAAAATGCGTCACGAGTTGAGATGATTGTGTATACATATGTAGAGTGCTTCTTTCTATAGTTCTAAAAGAGCTCGAATGACGTCACGATAGCGGTTCTATCACTACGAATTTATCGCGTTTCAACGCGTTACAGTTAAAAGTCCATTTAATTACTAACTCGCGTATACCTTCTCGATAATCTCTACATACGAAGCACTTACATCGTCGTCAATTTCTAACGTGACAAATATCACGCGGTAAAGATTATATACTACGCGTGATAACTCCTTCTTTACAGAGGCCGCCGGTGTCGTTCTCGATTTGTTTTCCTCGTCGTCGTTCTCTCCGTTATCATTGTGTAATTTCTGCTCTGATCATCGTTGTCTTATCAATTTCGTCACTGGGCCAATACATACTACCGTGACGGTATAGTGTCGTGCATCGTTGCTATCAGCTTTGTTATGGCGGCGTCACCGGCGTCGCCATCATAGTATATTTACAAGTGCACACTTACCTACGTTCGTTTACGGGCAGACGTAACAATAAAAAAAAGTTGTACCAATTAAAAATATTACAACGAGTATTTCTCAAATTATTTTCATACAAACACCATTTTACTTCTATAACTGTCAACGTATTACTCGTGTCGCTTGCAGGAGTGAGGCAACGGCATATATAGTGGAAAACTTTGGACGAGTTCAATGTACGTCCCTCTCTTTAAAAAACTTCGTGCGTCCGTGAGAAACTGTTTCTGTCGTAAAAATGCCAAAAAATCGGCTAGTTACCCGTTCAGTGACCAACAGTCGACCACATCACATGACTTTAAATTTGGAGTGTACAGAAGAACCACTCAGCGAAGCTCAGTTAATGTTACGATTAGAACTGAAGGAAAATTATGACAGAGTGTGTTCTATTTGCTTCTTCTCAAACTCTCTTTCAAATCAAATTCTCAATCGAAATGTTTACTTCAATCGTTCGTCTCTAACTTTTAGGTTGCTGCTACTTTAGAAGAATTGGTTAAAGATCACGGAGGTAAATTGGTATGCCAAGCAGGCAATGTCAACGGTTATCAGTATACATTGTAGGTATCATTTTCTACATAGATGTTATCTTTTTGCAATTGCTGCTCTTTTAGCAAACTCAGTGTTTGTATCTTCTCGTATATACCAGGCCTCCAAATCCTGCACAAGCACTGGTTAAAAATACTCCTCAACCCATTGTGAACGTAGTAAGTGTTGCCAAAGTGTAGAACAATCTTCTATATCGTATAATAATTTACCTGTCTTTGTAAACGGTGCTGCTTACAGAATCAAAGTAAAAGTCAGTCCATTAAACTTAACGTGTTGAACAACGCAAACGGATCTCAGGGTAACATACAACTGGTGGTGGATTCACGAATGGGAGTTATTCTTGGCTCCGTGGCACAATCTCAAGGTAAAAGAAAAAAAAAAAAAATACACAAACTTTCTACAAATGGACACAAAAGTGCGACCAATTCGTCGTAATAATAACAAACGATTAATCGTAGGGGCTGCTATAACTAGCGTACCTCAAAATTCGGTATCCTGTACTTCGGCATTGACACCAGCATCAACATCCACATCTACGGCTACAGCTATACCTACCATCGCGCATTCTCAAACGGAAAATGTACGAATTCTTTTATCGTTGTCTAATTTAACCGAAAGTCAATTTTAAATACCATACGAATAACAAATATTCATTTTCCTCAGTATAAGTATACTCGATCCGGACGCAGAACAAAGGTGCTCCAAGTGCAACAGTCGGACATAATAGAGGAAGTATGTTACGCGTAAATATCGTTTCACTCCATATATTTTTCTTTCTTATCAAACTGATCTCGTCTGACTCTGATTACGTAGCCCACGCTAGTTGCTCGTGGAAGACAGAAAATAGGATGCCCAACGCACGTTGTCACACCAAGTAAGTCGTATATGGTCGCATTTAATACCTTCCTTTTCTTTTTCACTAACTACGTGCATATTAGCGTTAACCGTTCACTGTTTTCTCATCATTTTCTTACGAATAATTGTGTAACCACTTTTTTTTTCTTTTTTTTTCTCAGCTAGTACCAGCCCGCAAGGAGTAACTAATCTCAGAATAAAAACAGTGAGCAAGCAACAAATTACACCGTCGGTATCGTCGAACGTAGGTGCAACAACAGGAACGGCAACACCCACGGTAACGACAACTACAGCGAGATTGACTATTACAAAACCAACGGAACATACGAGTATCGGTGGAATATCGGTTGGAAATAAAAACGCAGGTTAGAACACGACACATACCTCGTCACACATACCACCAAATTACACATTGCTGAAAAATGTCTAGAGTGTTGCTATTAATAGCTATATCTATGAAGTAGCTATTTCGACAGCGTCATAGCTCTGATATAGTATGTATACAACGCTTCGTGTTTGTTCGTTATGTGTCCATCAGACAACTAGGATTGTCGGTGTTAATTACAATAATTCTTTCAATTTAGCTGGCGACCACGTCGACGACTCGAAGAAGAATCTTCCGGACGGAAGGGAAGTAACTTTTAACAAAATCAACGGTGGCAGAACCTTTCCTTCCTTGGTGGTCATAGCTAGACCAAATCTTCGTGCAAAGGATATCGCGCCTCAAATAGCTCAGAAAGAAAGATCCGAGTTAGGTACCTATCGACAAAGATCTCGTTTTATCGCCCCCCCCCCCCCCCCCCCCCCCCGAACGTTTCAGATATTAAAGTCAAGAGCGTACTCATGTTCTCCGCTACCAAGTTTGCCGAATGGCTGATACAGCAAGGGTTAGTAAAGTCCGAACAATATTGCACACAACACAGTAATAATTATCAAAGGACCAAATTGAAATTAGGAATGTACAGTGATCAAGGTACATTTCCATACTCGGGAGGATACGTTTGGATCTCAAGTTGTTGTCCGGACCGTTTCGTTTCCGTCTTTTCCGGTTCCATTTTTCAAGGAGCAACCTATACACCTACTGTCCTTCTAAAATTAATTTATCATTGGGCGTGCCAAACGAACGTTCAAAATGTCGTTTCCTGGGTGAAGGTGTCGAATCTGTACGTGAAAAATTTTTACACCCATTTACGTAGCATTTGCACAGCCGCAATTTGGGATAAAACTCGCAAGATGGGAGGTAAAAATTCAGTGATACAAGTCGGCGTAATCAGTTTAGGCACGACATCGCAAGACGGAAACTTGCGGCAAGTTAAAGTTGAAGTGCTCGGTGTATTAGATCATGCCACGCTCGATTTAAGATTGAGAGCATGCGATCCGGTGCAAGACGGTGATAGATCGTACAAACGACGATTCAATAATATTTTACATCCTTTGAAAGAGTGGGTCCACACAGATTCGAAAATTATGACGGACTTCACCGTTGATAAAAGTACGCTCGAAGAAATGGGTTTTAATCACGTAACGCAATCGGCATTCTCCGATCAAAGTCCGCGAAATTTTACGAGTAATTATCACATTATGGAGTACTTGAGAAAAATTGTTCCCAGAATGTTTCAGAATACTCTGAGTTTACTCAGTAGACAAATGATACAACAATTTTTGGACGAGTTAGTATGGAGAGAAATGTACGGTTCGACCGCTGCGCGTGCATTTGACAACATTATCGCACACATCGCAGAACAAACTAGAATCGACTCTAGCGAAAGTCTCTTGGATCGTTTGGCTAAGATAGCTGCCAATCCGTTTCATAATTGGTCTTACTCGAATGTGAATCCGCCACCGTTGACACCGCTCATGACAATAAGCAAAGAAGACATTCACGCGGGCTGCGAAGTCCTCGTTCCGGTTAATGCCAACGTTAAACAGCAACAAGAAGCATTGTCTTTTGTTCAAACGAAAAAACCTGGACCAAAGAGAGGGCGAAAGAGAAACCCAGCAACGGCGGCTAGCCCAGAACCGGAAGCGAAGAAAGGTGTGTTTGATTCGAAAGGTACCCGAGAAAAAGACAAGGAGGGCAAAAACGATCAGATACAGTTGCAAGAACTTTACTACGCTACTATGGAAGGTGACAAGAGTCTTCTTTTAAAAGAACATAAATGCTCGTTATACTTTAAATGCTTCCTATGCGCTGCAACGATGCGTTCCAATACAGACGTGATGGAGCATACTATCGGTCATGTACCGCCACAAGTACCCGGACAATCGGATTCCCCCGTCTGTAGGTATTGCTGCACAGCGTTTTCATCTCAACATCAGATGATTACACACGTTACGGAAACACATAGCAATTTTGGCCACTCGGACAGTGGCATGGTTGTTTGCGCTATTTGTGAGCAGAAATTCGGGAAAAGTGGTCTCCTTGTCAACCACTTATCATCGATGCATTGCCCTTCGGAAATGCCGTACCGATGCGAGAGCTGCGGCTACCGTACTTCCAGTCATAAAGACGCTATCGATCATTTTTATCGAATTCACGAGAAGGGCGAGGGGCTACAGTGTCCTTATTGTTTGAAAGTAATAGATTTCGTAAGAGACGGCAATCCAAGTGTTACCAGCGTTCATGCTTTCTTATTGCATATGCAAAGACACGTTATCAGAAGGGAACAAGGACGGGGGAATAAGTGTTCAAGATGTTGCCTTTGGTTTAATCAAAAGAGTTCGTTAAAAATCCACCAAAGGGAATTACACGATTGTGTTTCCGATTCAAACGTTGTTCCGTACTCGAGCGGTAACGATGAAATAATGGTATCGAAACAACGACCTCAAAACAGGCGGTTCGAAATTGACAGCCCTGTAACGGAATTACCACACGACGAAAGAGTCACAAAATGGATTACCGGCCCGGTCACAGTGAACGTTCCAGACGATAATCTGTCTTGTAAAGAATGCGAGGAGGATATAGACGAGCAAGATCATTATCCAGGTGAACAAAAATGTCAACAATGTCCCTATGTCACTTGTTGTTGGCGTGCGTATAAGGAACATCAACAACAAATTCACAACGAACGACCTATGACCAGCTTGGTAGTTCCTTCTCCTCTCATAAATATTCCATTAGATAAAAGAATGCAATGTTCGTGCGGTTACGCGACAACCGACGGAAATCAATTAGCTACACATTTAATCAAATGTAAAACAGTGTCTGCCTATCCACTGGAAGATACAGCACCGTCCGGAATGTTGAACAGTTTGGGTTTAGTCCCGAAAAATAATCCCGACGAAACAGCAGACGTTGATGGCAAAAGGACTAATTTACATTAGGCATTGAACGAAGTACAAGTTTTCAAATGCTTTAGGCACCATGAATGATAAGTTAACGATTTAGACAATTAGAGCGTGTGTGACTTTTGAAACATTGGAAGAGAAAAAGTAAATTACACCTGTATAGTTAATAATAAGAAGAAAATAGCAACTTACTTCGCTTAGAGTATATATCATTACAAACATAAGAAAGGATTTAAATTGTATCCTAGTTCGAATCGGTTTTCACGTTACGTGTACCATTTTCACTTCTATCGTCGAATCTCGTATGCCCCATCGTATACCGTTGCCTCGACACCAAAAATCTACAATGAATCAAATTTGAACAACCGGATCGCCAATATTTTACATACGTTACGTAACTACACCAACATGTATCGTTTGAAAATACTGTAACAATAATTACACACATTTTTGTTGGACTATAGGGTTTCATCGATTAATCATTAATACGTTTATATTGCTGAGTTGTACCTTTATACGAAATAATAAATCGTTGCATGAAGAGGATACTTCTCGTCAAGTTTGAAAATATGTACATACGGAGAATTACGCATGTGTGTTGTCCCGTAAAGAAATGGTTTCTCCTTTAATTCTCCTCCCGATATAGAGAACGAAGTATAGAAAAACTTATTTATTTTTCGAACTTTTATTTAGCAAGTACGTTTTTCCGTAGTTTCGATAATAAATGTAGCATACATATGTATCTTTACGTGCTCAACTGTACGAGAATACAGTATTTACACAATACTAACTGATAAAATTAGAATGCACCGATGAATTATTATTCTTCAATCGAAGAAACTGAGGCAAGTTGAAAACTATTTGTGTTAACATGTAATAGTTCGTCACTCTGTACTTATTTATATTTCTAGCAAGCTATCAACACCTTTTTTTTATTTTTTTTTTATTTTTTTTTTTTTTTTTTTTTTTCAATTTTCTAGCAAGCTATCAACACCTTTTTTTTATTTTTTTTTTTTTTTTTTTTTTTTTTTTTTTTTGCAATATTCCAACTCTTCACGATTTTACAGCCATTCAATGTCGTCCGTCCATTATCGAGTCAACACTAAAGAAAGTATTTATCAGCACAAATTCCACAATGTTAATTGATCGGGGTTATCAAAAGAATTATTATTACCATCGTTGCTAAAACCGTTACCGTTACACGATCGTTGCTTATTATATGTCTAAACATTGTCACATCCGTAACGAATCGTCGTATGTACTGTTCATAGTTAACAAGGAAGAGAACACACGCTGGGATAAGGAAAATCGTTGGTAACTCGAATGTTATCTTCTGGTTATTTCTAAAACGTGCGAACAAGCACCACTCAGATTCACAATCTACCGATTTCAGACACGATCCGAGACGTGACACTCCAAAATTGGGAGAAAACCTACGACGGCTTGGCCATCGATGGTTGTTTCTTCCATGGGTTGTGCAGTGTCGCGGCTGGCTCGTGTCTTCGACAGAGCTCTCACGCGGTTCGGATAATCGTGCGATGCGCCTGGATTTGCTTGGTGAGGCTTGGAAAGGGAACGGACTTGGCACGCAAAGACAGAACACCATCTGGGCAATCTTTTCTCTCCGCATCATCAAAGTCCTATATCCCAGGATAAAATCCTTCGATTCGAAAAAGCGGGGGGGGGGGGGGGGGGAAAAATATACTTTCACGGTTCGCAACGGCATAATAAAGAAACATTTTTTCACCCAGTTTTATCGTTACAACGACCGCTGCCAGTGTATAATTTATTGCTGAAAAATGTTCACAGAAATATCTATCATAAGGAGATATTTGAAATATTCCGAATACGATTCTTCGATTGCAAATCACTCTCGATATTGCCTATATCTCATTAGAGAGACACGTAGTAATTGTTACACCGAATTACCACGTGAAACTGAAACTACTTTCAAAAATATTTCATTTTTACGAACGGTATCGAAGTTAATGTCCTATTTGAACTAATTTTTATCGAATAAGCCATCGATTTGTATACATCGACTGCGAAAGAAGAAAAATACAAACGAAAGAGAAGGTAACTTAAGGTATTTAAACACTGGTTGCGCATCGTTACGCGTATTCCGTGCGCGTTGCACGTACGTATGCGCACGTACACACATGTGTAATAACACATACAAACGATTTAAAAAAAATTATACGACGATACAAGATAAAAAACACGCTTAAACCCAATCCGCCACAATTAACATTGAGATTTATCGGTAATAAATTCCTTTTATAATTTGACGTTTCTTAGCCTTATGTAAATTGTGTAAGCCTCGAGATGTCGTCAAATTTTTTACGTGGGAAGCTTCGTCAGCAGTTTACATGCTCTTAAAAGTTATCAACATTGTATTCAAGAGAATGAATCGACATTTTCGTCGACAGCCTGTTATGTTCGCGATCTACTACGTATACCCGACTATTAGTTTCGGTTTGTTCTTCATTTCATCGTATCTCTCCGTTCTGTACGTGTTTGTATACATATACATGTACGCATGTACGTATACGTGCCTTTCTCTTAAATTTAACGCCAAGGTGTACAACACAACGTTGAAAACATCTTTACGGTTATTATCGCGAACGGTGATACGACAGACTCAATTGCTGTTCCATAACATTCCTACAGACCTGTAATTTCTTCGTACCAAACACATATCGGAAAATATTAAGGCAATTGAGAAAAGAAGAAACCAAATTTACGATTCGTGATTTTTATAGCTTGTAATTTCTCGTTCACTTCTGGTTGTGGAAAAATGCGTGGATGTTTTCGCAATGTTCGTTCCTGTAACTAAAAAATCGAGAAGAAAAAGAAAATAAACAAGATTAATTGGAAGATAATAACGACGTTTTAAAACAGAAAAGATAAATAAGGTGAAACAAGAAGGTTAGAATTTTCCACGCGAAAAACAAAAGAAGTACCTGTGCGTTAAATTTGAAAGAGAAGCCGAGCTTCTGTGGTTGATTACTCGATGGTATAGAGCATGTAGAGATTGCCAGCATCACTGCCTGGTGGTACCAAGGAGTGAGTGGGCGGTAGAACAGTGAAGCCCAAAAACATGAAGGTACGAACCAGCATTGCTAAACCACAACAACAAAGTGTTTTAGGCGAGAAATTTTTTCTCTCGTAACCATTTTCATTGGAATCAAAGAACGGTCGACGACAAGTACCTCGATCCGTTCTGTCTTTACGTAGACATACGATGATATTTGTACATCGCAGTGTTTCTTCTGCGTACTCCAGGAGCGAAACGAAGCCTTCTTTCGAACCTTCAGGCAGAAGACAGCTTGGCACGCGAATGTAAAGACAGCGACGCCATACTACCGTTTCCCATTCAACGGATGTGCTTTCCGTCAAATGAAGAGTAAAAGTTAGGCGCAGTGATTCGCTATTTCGCACAGCTTTCAATAATTCATCCTCCTACAAATGTTAGGTTCGAAATTAACGAAAAAGTCGCAAACAACCAGTTACCGTTGATAATAAACTTATCGCAAATACGCACTTGAACAATGTGGGAGCTCACAGAGAGCTGACTCTGCTTGATCCCCACGCCGCGGCTCTCTGTGTTGACTGTAGATACAGACAATGCGGCATGGGGCACATCAGGACCACCACAGAGGCCCCACACCCAGCGTTATACAGTAATGTTGCTGAAGTCTAGAACCTTCTTCTAAACTTTCGTCCATACACTTGCTCGACATGTCACTGTAATTGCACATATTAATCAATAACGTTAAAGCCACTAAAGGAGAAGCTATTTCAAAAACCAGGTCCTATGTTTAATTCTATCTTTGTGTACGCGTGTCTATCCCTTTGGTTGTCTCTTGGTTTTTAGTACCCTTCTCCTCCTCCTCCTCTCTGTTTGTGTATCTTTCTCTCTTTACCGTACCACCACATTTTAGAAGAAAAGGATTACAACTACCATTTATTTTCAAGAATACCGTATTTACTACACGTGCGTATATAGAAGAACCACGAGATTTGCAAGTAAACTGTATTTGAAAGAACAAATATTAAATTAACAAATACCTCGTGAATCGTTAAACTATCGAGCAAGGACGCGATTAATATCAACGATACGGGACATCACGAGGATGGATACATAATATTTCAAAACGTTCTCGATGCCAAACTGAATTATCGAAGAAAATCATTTTTTCTTACGCTAAAATTATCCAAAGACTATGCACATATCTCTCTGTAATAAGTTCGTGTCGATGCAATAATAATAATAATAATAATAATAATAATAACGCAACAGATATCCAGCGACGTCCAGCGCGTTATGTGCAATTTTTGCTACACGTTTAATTTGATATGCTTCTAGCGAATAAGCAACTACAGATATTTCATCAATATTCGTGCAAGATAAGTGCTTTTATTCGAATAACAATTCGTCGTTTGTAATCAGTGGTTTCATATCGAAGATAAGATTATAGGGTGATTTCATTCTGCTTTTCCGTTAATATAGCTCGGTAAAATGCGCACCACTTAATATACGACGACGACGACGACAACAATGACAATTATGTAAGAAATCTCTGTGATTCATCTATATGTTCATACACATATATAACGTATGATTATTTCCGTCTCATCGTAGCAATTTGTATCAAGTGTTCACGATATCGCTAATTATTACGAACTGACGCACTATTATTGAAGCAGATTTATACTTCCGTTTTGCTTCTTCTTTTTTTCTCTTCAACTTCAACGAAACGGTGTACAACAATAACAAAATTTTCTCCTTCGTTACATTTTTGTATATTTGTACCTATAAAGAAAACAGCTGACACGTACGATGTATCGACGCATACGCGTTCGTTCTACCTACGTCACACAATGGATGTTCGTGATTCACGTGGCATTATACGTGTGAACCAAATTGTAATAATCTTTCAGAAAATGTATCAAATGTCATTGCCGCGAATGTTTCTTTCCTCTCTGCTCCGCCCCTTTTAAGCAATTTTTATTCGATCCTACTTTATACTGTACAAAATTTGCTAAAAAATAATACATCCATCTTGTACGTATTTGAAGAGAAAAAAAGTATGACATTAATCAGGAGCAGATTGATCACGAGACTTATTATTATCAAGGAGAAGGATACAATTTGAAAAGTAACGATGCGTCAATCGTTAACACATCATTCGTGTATAATATTCAAAAATTTAGCAGTATAGTTTATATTCGTAGAGAAAAGTAATAGTAAAGAATACTGGTAAATAGAATACAAGATGGCGGTGATGGACAGAAATGGCGCAGTAGTCGTATGATACTTACCAATTGCTCGATATTAGACTTGGCATTATTATGCCCTTTTTACTACTTTCGCAATTACTCAACGGTAGGCTGGAATTAATACTCATACTTCTTTCTTCGTAAAATTTTGACGGCTGTAATTTTACTCTCTCACAACGAAGTAATCGCTAGAGAGTAGCGATGGATACACGATAAGAATTAGCGTAGAATTACTAACACACGAGGCAACCGTCTTACTCGCGAACGAGCGAACCGATACTGAAGCGCTCCTCGTCGAATATCGACGACTCAGCTCGATTCCCGCTCCTATTCGATTCGATACGATACGATACGATTCGATAATACATATATCGATTATATTTTTTCACGTCGACAGATTTCGTCGAGCGTTAACAACAATGTGTAGTATCGACATTTATGCGATTAAAATTTTAAAACTGGTCAATTTTCAGTTGAACAAATAAAAGAGCAACGATCGAAATATCGCGGTTCCGATATTTTTGTAAAGTCACGTACATGTACCGTTTTAAATATCGGTTGTTGTTCAATTGAAATAATAATCGTTACACGTGATTAATTCCTTTTGTTTTTCTTTTCACAAAGATAATCGAGCTTCAAAAGAATACTTGTTTTCGAAACGTTTAATTTCACTTTTAACTAATTTTATTTCAACCGATGTATCATCTTCCATGTTTGTAATCGATACTTGAAGAAAGAAGTAGCGGGAAAAATTTTTCACTTGCGACATTTTGTTCTTAATACGGCTACGATGTATCGAAGAAGGGGTGCACAGGAGAGTTAAATTCTTCGCTCCCTTGAAATATCATTTCAGTTTCAACTTTGTACGATCATTTTTATGAATTTTTCACGTCAAGGCACAATATACTCATTACATCGCGAACGTACAAACATAAAGAAATTAACGCTCTATCCTTTTGACAAAAGTTATCAACGACGACATCTTCTACATATGTATACAATGTACAATTATTTTTATATACCGCCGCGGAGTTTCGACGAAATTCAATGGGAGTAAATTGAAAAAATTAAACGCTTATAAAAATTTTACGACAGATACAGATTTCAATTGATAATTGGCGTTGCATCTGGTAAAAAGGAAATTTAACCACACATCACTTGACGAACAAAGTCTTCATAATTTATGTTACCCTGCGAATCTTCGTGACCAGCCAACAAAGTTTCAACTTCTTCATCGCTGAGCTTCTCACCTAACAACAGAGAAATCAGGACTGATCAATAATCTTTATGCCAAATAAACTAAACCACATTATTACCAATCACGTATGAAATAGTTACAAAGGAGTAATTCTTTTTACACACCCAACGTGGTCAAAAGGTGTCTCAATTCGGCAGAAGAGATGAAACCATTTCCATCTTTGTCGAAATGACGTAGTCCTTCTATAAAATCATCAGCAGTATCAGACGTACGAGATTTACTTATCGCTTGATAAATTGGCAGAAAGACTTCGAAGCTGATACGTTCGTCAGGTTTGTGTTGATGAGTAAATTTCTTTACATCCGATTCAGTCGGATTTTGCCCTAGAGCACGCAACGCGTCTCCAATTTGGGCTACATGAATTTTCCCATCCCCTCGGCTGTCGAAGAGTTGAAACGCCTCCTGAAATTCTGTTACAAAGGGGAAAAGCTTCATCGTCACAAATGTTGCAATTATTATAAAATATACGTGTCGCGTTGTTGGTAGGAACATGCTGAAATATTTCGAATAGTATCTGTCCTTTTTACTTTGGTTCAAAAGGCAATCAGTTACACAAATAGATCCGTTTATTTACCCTCGACAGATGACATCATTCTGTGTGTTAATTCTTGATAACTACAACCGTAGTACATTGTCGTGGGTTTTATGTACACACAAATATATGTATATTATATGCATATATGATGTGTGCAAATATGTTTAAACGATTCAAACGGAAAGAAATAGAAGGGAAATATGTCGAATTGCGTTTCACTTCCTATACACGATTTCGATAATACGGAAAATCAACAATTCTCGAAATTTGCATGTACGTCGTTCACGCGACACAGATATACACCAACGGCACTACGTTCGGAAACGATTTAAAGGCGAATATAAAGGTTCTACCGTCGTTACGATGCAACGCTATACACTTTTTGTCCTCGTTTCTTCTTTCCTGCTACTATTTCGTCGTCGAAGTACCTAACCATAAATGGTAATCGCTGACACGTAATTCGATGTCATCGGGGTGGGTCTAATAAGGAAAACGATATTCTTGACCTACATTAAACACGGAGAAAAAACTGTTCGCTTCTCTTTAGTCTCGTTCCGCCGTCTTGTGTCAAAAATTTTCTTCGCGTTTACTTACCCGCTAACTGATCTTCCGAATAAGATGCCTGAAAATATACATAAATTGCCGTTTATCGTTATCTGCGTTTAAATACATTTCAAGTAACACAATGACGATAATATGTGAACGAAACACGTAAAAATACTAACCATTTCAATCGCTGATTGTACGAAAAACACACAATACGTACGTCTCTTTCTATACGCGAGCGTGTATACGTATGCACGTTGTTGAACGACGAGCGCCTCGATCGTTCCGTGTCTCTTTCAACCCACTTGCAGAGTTGTCTCGGAAGGAGTCGTAACGTAGTCGTTCGGTTTTTACAATAGGAGATCGATCGAATCGATCGAAATCGAAGTGAATTTGTTCGGTGTTGCAATAATTTATTGAATTCCAAGATATCGTCCACGACGTCCACGCTCTACGACTCATGCGAACCAGCCACGAGGCTCGCCATTCTGCGATTCTCATGCGAATCCAACCTCTCCGCAGTTTCAACACGAACGCACACAACCCATACGATAGAGATACGCACTCGCAGGCGAACTGAACGTGTAACCCCACAAGTACCATTCGTAGTTTTGCTTAATATTTAAATACAATACGTGTAATATTTTTACATCATCGGAGTAGTGCGTAATTTTCTTCTAAATTCGAGTGGTTAGTCAACGTTAAGTGTCGAATCATCGAGAAAAGTGATTGTAATATAATAAAAGGAAAGAAAAAACGTGTCGGCGCGTTAAGTTTCGGATCGAGTTTAGTAGACCATGCGTACATTCAGAATCATGGCCGGTTTCCATAAAGGAAGCTGTATATAGCATTTCTGAGTAGGACGTTCGGAGTAAACGAAGTGTCTCGAAGCGGTTTATTCGTCATTGGACTTGTATATTTTTCACACAAAAACCATTCGTTTATAGCTGCTTTCTCGTATGTAAATCCGTCTGAAAACGGTAGTATTAATTAAACGATTCGTCGTCGTAATTCCGCGAGCGTAATTCTTTCTCAGGGTTTTTACCACAGCATCGAACAGGTTCTTTCATTATTTCACGCGTGATAGGGCATAAAAATTCGTCGGGTATTTCGTTATCGTCTACATTGATTTCTACAGAATTACCGTCTTCACGTTTCAACCAGTATAATTGCGTCGTAAGTGCTTCCGTCGTCTGAAATCATACGTAGAACAATTACGAAGATCGGTACGAACGTGTCGCAACTTACTTCTTCGTCTCGATCGATACGGAGCCTTTCTATCAATTCATCTTCCGATACGGCGAGTAATCGTCGCCCCGTTAACGAAGCCGCGCAAGCTTTCTCAGTTAACGTCGACAAGCCTATTTCTTCTAGCCATTTCAACGTATCGTCTATTTTCCAATCCGCAACCTTGATACGATTTGTCGTTATCATCGGAATGTGTATCGTTACGACGCTTTTGAATTCGTACCTTTTTTCTGTTACGTTTCAAGTTGTTCATCAGCACGTTTTGCGAAATCAACATCCGAGGTATATTCCAAATTAGAACAGTTTTATCGAGAGCACCTACGAATACAGTTGTTAACGTAACAAGAGAAACGATTAAGCAAATACGATCGGAGAAAGATAATTGGTCGAGACCTGTGATAAAAAGGGAAGTGTCTTCGGAAAAAGCGCAGGTAGTTACAAGATTTTCGTGCTCTTCCAGCACGTACAAGCATAATCCAGAGTACTGAAATCATACAATTTCTCATACGATCACGGTTCACCGATCGGAATACATACCGTGCTCCATATGCGCGCTGTTTTATCGGTAGCCACGCTTCCTAAAATTTCAGATCGGGTTGGAGAAAATCGAACGCAGGTCACGTTGCCGCCATGTCCGGTGAAAGATATCTCTTCCTCGTATCGTACATCGTCGCCACTCCTTCCAGCACCTCCTTCCGTAACCTCGACTCTTTTAGAAATTGTTATTTGCCACAACTTAACCAAGGAGTCGTTGCCACTTGTTGCTAGGAAATAAGTATCGCTGTTCACGTTTGTTTTTCTGCCTACAATCGGAAGCAACACGTACTTAACGTTTCATCGCGTAAAGGCGTTCGTTCACACAAATCCCATCGACGTTTACCGGTAATATCAGACGTTGGGCTAAAGTCACATCCCTGAACGCCCAAATTATGAGCCTCTTCGCAAGTCGTCAATGCTGTAGTGCAATTTTGGTGATCGGTGGTACGGAACAATCTCCAAGTACCTTCGTTACAAGCGGTAACCAAATAACGCGAATCATGCGTAAAGGCGATTGCGTTCACCGCATCGGAATGACCTTTGAAAACGCTACGGTGTACATTTGACAATTTAATACAGCGCACGCATCGTGCACCGTTCGATAAAAAAAAAAAAGTGTCGGATAAAAATGTACGCCTACCCAAGTTCTTCCATATTATTCACACCCCATATCGTTGTCCTCTCGTCGTCTCCAGCAGTGGCAATTTTAGTACCATCCGGTGACCATCGACAAACACGAATACCAGATCCCGAATTAACGAAAGATGATTTCGCTTGAGATCCGTTCTACGAAAGGAACGGGAGTATAAGTACGTGGTATGTAAACGGCACAACGTTTCCCTCACCTCGGTATTCCATACGATAGCTGTACCGTCCGAGGAACAAGAAGCGAGCATAGTACCGCACGGGCTAAATTCCACGTGATTTATACCGTACTTGTGACCGTCCAGTGGACTGTAAGATTTTTCTCGGAATTTCATACCGGTCGTTTCAGCTTCCTCGTCAGCGGCGGCGGCGGCGGCTGCCTCGATGCTCCAAACTCGCACCAATTTATCCCTAACGGAAGGAGCGCGATAGAACGAATAATTTCAAGTACAACAGTTCCAACTAACCCAGATCCAGAAGCAATAAGACGATTTCCGTAAAAAGCTACGCTGTTTACAACACCAGCGTGTTCTTCCAATCTTCGAACCAATTGGACATTATCTGCGACGGAAGTTTCCGCATATTCGTTTCGTTCGTATTTAGCACTCTAGAAAAGGAGGACGAACTAAGAAACGAACAAAGTAACGGTTCGAACAAACTAACGGAACGCACCTCTTCGCGATCCTGTGAAAGTAAAGCAGGTGTGAAACGTCGTGCAAGCTCCGAATCGAGACACAAGTTTCCCGTGAGATCCCAAACGATCGCAGATTTGTCGTTGGAACCTACGTCGTTGGACGTGAACGTGAAACGTACGTATACACATGCGCGATTGTACATTTTAACGAAACAACAGCATTACCGGTCGCCAATAAATTTCCGTCTCTCGAGAATGCGCAGCATGCTACGTATCTGTTATGCCCCGATATTATCGTCCTTACTTTTCCGGAACTCTGAAAATGTAAACCAACAACAATTTCGTATTTTATTTATATTTTATTTCATACCGTTTCCCAGATCACTGCTGTTTCGTCGAGGCCGCTACTAGCGACGTACAATCCGTTCGCGTTGAAGCGAACACAGGTTAGAGCACTACTGTGTTTCTCCATGATTCTGCAGAGATTTATCTTAGCAGTGGACGGTTCGACGTCGCGTTTCGGCTGTACCGCAATTATCTCCCACAATTTGACGCAATGATCGTTACCGCAAGTAACCAGTTGATACAGTTTTGTGAATGGTTCGTTACCTAAGAAGATATCGTATGAAGGTATGTACGTTGGTCCGTTATCTTTACGTACTTGTAATCTCCTGAGAAGTTGAAAAGTCACAAGAGACAACGCCTAAATCATGAGCATCGTCTATCCAGGCGAACTCCAGGCACGACGACGACGACGACGAGGAGTCGGTAATATCAGCGACGGAGAATAATTTCAATACACCGAAAGTGCAAGTGGTAATTAGCCAACTGGAATCCGGAGAAAAGCACACACCTTGCACAGAACCGTCGTGTTTTTGAAAACATCTGAATACATATACGGACAGAGATATCGTTATGCCAAGTTAAATATACAACGAAATATACATGTTCTTGCCTGATTAAATTACGGCGTATCAAATCCCAAAGGCAAACTTGCCCGTTGTCTCCAGCGGTAACAAGTAACGTCGAATCTGGCGAGAACCTACAAACTCTCACAGCTTCTCCACCTATTTGAACCATGGTGTGAATTTTCGATCCTGTCTGGAAACGAACGGTAGGTAATACCAATTGTCGCTTAAAGGTATCGACGAAATCAATCTTACCCTTAAATTCCAAAGTAACGTTGTACCATCTATACTAGCTGAAGCTATCATTGTCGACCGAGGGCTCACTTTTACCGATGTAACTCCATACTTGTGCCCCTGTAACGGCGAAAAGTATGCTTCCACGTATCCTACACCTGTTCGCCATTGCCAAACTCTGACGTGTTTGTCTCTGAAAGTGAGACACTCGTAGAGAAAGTCGTACACACGTAGAAGATCTTTTGCAAATTTTTTACCCCGATCCAGTTACCAGTATGCAATCACCGGCAAAATCGACACTCGTCACGTCACTCGTGTGAGCCATCAAGGTTTGCAGAACTCGGGCGTCCCTCGTCGCGCTGGTCATGTTTGTGCGTACGATATCGTTCCTCACACGCGCGATTCCTTTCCACTCGCGTACACCTCTTTACTCCGATTATTAAAAAAGAGTGTATTCAAGGAATACGTGGTAAGTTCGAGACCTTGATCGTGTGCGCATGTTCCTGTATATATTGTTCACTTTGTAAAAATTCGACCGGATATAAATACGTTACCGCTCACTTATCAAGCAACGAATATTGTATCGTATGTCCGCGTCGGAAAATCGATGTGAAATAGTGCGGTGAACCAGCCTTCTTTATTCGAGTGATGTTGTACATACATACTTATACCTACGTATACCTATAAAGCAATTATTTAAAGCAGTCGTACGTATAGTAACGCTCCTACTGTTTCCTTGTACAAGAACAAATTGTACATTTGAATATAACATTATCTCGAAAAATTTCGAACCGTCCGCAATACGAGAGTCGAGAATATTTTTCTAAAAAAAAAACCCCGGAAAAGGGTTGAATCACGGTTGATACGAAATAATCGGTTGGTAAAGTAATCGATAATTGAATCTTACGTCGATCGAATCTTCGTCGATAAGACCTCGCAAATATGCTTGTAAAAGAAACTAATTTGCAACTCGGAGAGACAAACACTAGAACTGACTTATCCCGAACTGACCTTCCTAGAATTGATTTCAGCGTCCTTGAATGGACTGGTTATTTCCGAAAATTGGAATCAATGTACCTCCTTTTTCCGAAGAAGAGAAACGGAAGCTCTTTTTTCAAAGAATTCAAACGGACTATATCGCTGGTAACTCCTTGATGTATCGACGAATTTACAGTCAACGGAACGTCTATTCGATCGAACCCTTTCGTTTTATCCGTCACGTCTCAAGTACGATCGTATTACTTACTGCGTAACTCCCAGCAGGTTACCTATCACGACGATTCGCTGAACAATTGTACTCCCAACCCACGTTCGATTCACCCTTCTTTTACGCGATCGATTAAAAAAGTCTAATCGACGGCAAAAAGACGAAACAGAATGAAAACAGAAATTATCGTCGTAGGATTAACTCGCTCTAGTATCTCCACGTTCTCTCGTTTGAAACATGCAACAACCTCTGAAAAAGATCATCGTTTCCTTCTCGACCTGTTGTTACGGAAAAAGAACGGAAGCCCACCTCGTGCCCTCTACCTGTACCCACGCAAACTTACGCAGAAACAATTGACATTTTAAATTGTACCGTACAGATAGGGAAGAAAAGGACAATTCGTACGTCAAACTCTTCCGCAGGTGCCATCTAACAGCAGATACGAACACTGAAGTTTCTAGCAACAGCTCATAGATGGCAGAAGCATCGGCATATGATTGTGTGGTGTGTGTGCATGTAGCGCAGTTGCCATTTTTTTCGTCTTTCGCGCGCACGTGTTTGGAGTTAGGCGAACGACGTTGTACGTACGGACGAGGTTATGTATTTCGTTTAGGCGGTAAGTTTACGGTTCAAAGATTCGATAAAAACATTTTCGATTTAATTTGTAAAACTGAATTTTCTTACTTAACGCAGTACCAAAGATGCAAGGAAATCGTACGTCATAATTATCAAGGACAGTTTATTCATATGAAATTTTGTTAGAGTAAATTTAAATAATATTACAGAGCCGGAAAAAGAACGGAAGCCCACCTCGTGCCCTCTACCTGACCTACGCAAACTGACGCAGAAACAATTGACATTTTAAATTGGACGTACAGATAGGGAAGAAAAGGACAATTCGTACGTCAAACTCTTCCGCAGGTGCCATCTAACAGCAGGTACGAAAACTGAAGCTTCTAGCAACAGCTCATAGATGGCAGCAGCATCGGCATATGATTGTGTGGTGTGTGTGCACATGTGGCACAGTTGCCATTTTTTTCTGCTCTCGCGCGCACGTGTTTGGAGTTAGGCGAACGACGTTGTACGTACGGACGAGGTTATGTATTTCGTTTAGGCGGTAAGTTTACGGTTCAAAGATTCGAAAAAAACATTTTCGATTTAATTTGTAAAATTGAATTTTCTTACTTAACGCAGTACCAAAGATGCAAGGAAATCGTACGTCATAATTATCAAGGACAGTTTATTCATATTTGCCGCCTTTGGATTCACACACCAGCGAGAGGAAACGGAGAGATTTTAAATAAGTAAGTAGCTCTAAACAATTGTTATAAATTCTTTTATACTAATATAAGGTATTAATTTCGACATTTCGCAACAACTGGCAGAAAGGTTAGAAGGTGGTGAATTGTAAAAATCGTGGACGGTATGGTACGTATATTTCTATTCCAGGCGTATTTCAATGTGCGTATTTTTCATTGTTGGAATACTCTGCATTTGAATATTATGGAATTGGGATAAG